CAAAAAACGATAGGACCAACAGGGTCCACGATGAAATATGAAATCACAACAAACAAAGGGATTATCCGAGCTTCTGAAAGAACCGAAGTCAGTGGACCGCAGATTGACAACAGCAAGCAGATTAGTAATATTCCCATAGTCGCTGTCGAAGATGATGAGACTGAACCAAGCCGTGAGGTGGCAACAGCGAATCCCACGACTACAGCAATCGTTCCTAGGCAACCACAAATCCCGCTGAGGGGAATAGATTTTGTGCCTATTCCTATGCAACAAGTGGTTTCATTGGCATTTCCTATTGATCCATATAGTTTCGATCATTTCAGGAAATATATCGGTAGTAAGTTGTGCTATAATGCTGCACCTCTCGATCAATCAAAAATAATCAAGACGCAAGAACGAGTTGCATATCGCGTTGATATCTGGACGCTAATGGAAAACCGCACTCTCGAATGGACAACAAAACCATATCGTGACGAAGACACACCTAATAGAACCGTTGGAAATATTTTTGACTGGGACGATATCTCATTTGATTGTCCTAGAGCTGATGTGGAAGGAATTGTCAAAAAATCGTATCCGTTAGAAGATACGCAGGCTAAAATAGTGTGTGGCTTTTGCAGAGGACAAGGTGCACAAAAATGTGCTCAATGCTATGGACAGGGACATTTCATACCTCAAAATGGTTATAGCACACGATGTTTAGCCTGTAATGGTCAGGGTACACTGAGTTGTGTTCATTGCGATAGATCCGGTTTTCTTCTTAAAGTGGCTACACTGAAGTTCGAATGGGAATCGATCAACTCAGTAAATTGCTATCAAAACACATTTCTACCTGATAAATTGATTCGCCTAAGACGTAACAAACCTGTTGTGTTCGATGGTGCCATTAAATGGAACAGTAGTATGGTCTTAACAAATTTTCCAGAGTTGATTGAAACACTTCAGGGGCAAACTCCTGGTGACCTTTCAGACAAATTAATTAAAGATATTCAAAAACAATATCTAACACATTATATTCGATTGAAGAAGCCCACCCAATCCAATAGAATCACTAAAATAAAATGTTTGATTCGACAAGTCGATGTTATCGAAATAGATTATCGATTAGATGGCTACATCAATAAGGTTGGGCGAAATAAAGGTGAGTACCGATTTACAAACTAAAGGAAACTAGCAGGTGTTAGGGCTTGTGCTCACGAAGGGCGCCAAACACAAGTAAAGATGTATTCTCTTTTCTCTGTTTATTCTTAAAGAAAGCAAGTGTTTATATATGTGTATGAAAACAAGAAGCAAACAGAAAAGAATACAAAGGTTAACCAAGGTCAAAGAAGAGAAGTAATAGAAACGAAGAGATAGAAATAGAAATATAGCAAGAAGGATAATAGATAGGATCGAGGTGTATGTATAGAAATACATCCTAACAGCAGGTTTTTTCAAAAGTTTCATAAGAAATTTCTTTACTATGATACCGAGAAGGATCTTTAAAGCAGTGTCATCATTAAATATGACAGCATAGAGGTCAATCTCAACCTATAATAATAAAAATATGAATTTTTTTCTCTATGGATTCCCATATTATCCAAATTTCAGTAATTAAACTGCAACAATTTTACGATAAAATGAATTCTACTCATAAAATATTTCGTATTCTTGAGCTTATCTATTATGGAATATTTTTTCATGAAACTGCATAAGTGTAGAAGATATGTCTTTCACTGTGTGAAATGGAGCATTACACATTTGTTAACTCATTAACTCATATCGACGAGCATAAAATAGTTTATTTATATCATGTGTTAAATCTTTGCTTTATGTCCTTAAATCACTAGTTATATATATAATTATATATGACGATAACGAAGAGAAGAAGATAAAGAAAAGAAGAGAGAGAAATACAATCCCAATAACAAACACAGTAAAAGACATCAATGAAAGAGAAAGCAGAAAGAAGATATCAAGGGAAGAGAGAGAGCGAGAATGAATCATCGTGAACAACATTGTGTGAAGTGAAATTCTCGAATTTTACCAAGGGTAAAATTACAGTAGACAATTGATGTTGGCGAATGCCTAGTTGACGAAAATCTCATTGGGTAAATTCAGCTATTTCTGCGAAACTTTGTATAGTGATGTCAAAGTATGAGAGCAAGCACAGCCCAACAGAACATAATTCCATTAATTTCTTTTTGATTTCTCAATTCAGAATACACACGGATTAAAGATCACCTGCTTGAATAAATTTGTTATTCCAATCTAACCCTGAAAATAAGCATAAAAAATTTGTCAATCTCGGTCTACTGCTTTTCGCCAATATCTATAAGAAGCAAATTGTTTCTGTGTCCGAATCAAAGATTTATCTGACAAATTCTATAGTAAGATAAATATCTTTGTATGTTTCTAATTTTTTTTCGTTTACTGGTATGGGTAGGATGCAGCCGAATTTTCATCGATTATTTTTGCTTCTCACATTTCTCTACGATTTTGATAGCCCTCGCAGCATTTCCTAAGCATATTATACTTCGAATATATAAAAGGATCTTCTTGTATCCATTAACCTTTTCTTTTTAAATTAATCGATTATATTGATGTAAATCTGTTTTTTTTCTTATAGGGACTGATAATTTTACTTATTTAGTTTATGGTGTTGAAGATAATGGTACAGCAATGATCTACGAAAATGACTATCCTATTAACTGTTGTGGTTGTATAGGCTCGAAGGGTTGTAGATGCAACTGCACGATATCTTAATGAACAAAGCAATGCCGACAAGGGACTTAATAGAAATGATAGTCTTTTAACATCTCATTAGAATTTTCTCTAAAACATTATCATAAAGTATTTGTTTTCATATCAACTGACATTGAAAATGTGTGCAAGCAACAAATCAAACTTATTCAGCTTGCCGTATTTTTCCATTCTTTTTATTCGAATAACTCTATAGAACATATGAATATATTTTCTTATTAGAGGATACACTGCTGAAATATTAAGTATTTTAATAGTGTGGTGATGAAACAGGCATTTATGAGTTGAATTTTGAGCTTTTTAGAAATAAAATCGCATCAACTAGCTTGAAGTGGAATTTTTAGCATTAAATAGAATGCACTCTTTATTATACTTTAATGGATATATCAGTAGTGTTTTCGTTATCGTACGGCTCGTTTTATTCGAAAATACAAGAATCAGGGGAAATCAGCAGCTCATATCTCTCGTGATATCTCTCTATGAGAACATCTACATACGTATATGAAATCCCAGAAGAACAATAGTGACAGTTCATATTTAAAATAAATTTTCACGATAAAAATATATTGATGAATATCGAATCTAGTGAATATCATCCGGTCTTTCTTCGCCGACAAGTTCTTCACATAGCATATCACGTGCCTTACACTCATATTGTTGTATTTATCGCCAAGCGAACCAGAAAAAAGAACTTTGATTAAACCACTTATCTCGTGTTCTTGATAGAAATGGCAACAAGTGAAGAAGAAAACACAGTTCGACTTTGCACCATGATAGAGGAAATTTTCTTGATATTCTTATTCACATTATTTTAAATATCATATGTCCTACGCAGAAAAACTTCACATGCACAAAACGTAAAATTGCCAGGCATGAAAGAGAAAATATGTTGTTCTTGTTAAATTGAAAATTACCTATAAACTCCAGATTTTAAACCACATCCGCGTGACTACTATTGAATTATAGTTAATAGTATCATTTGCAATAATAACCTAACGAGAATATTTTACAGGAATCAAACGTAATACTTAGACTTATTGATCTTCTACAATGTTGTTTATTATGATGCTCATTGGATTCATATGTTTTAAGCATGTTTTCGGCTTTTCATTGAAAATTTCTTTTAGAAATTAGCTCTATCAAAAATATCTGTGCATCATACCGCTTAGATTTAAATAGTAGTTTGTATTGGTTGAAATTGTGAAAATCAATATTTGTTTTTGATTGATATAGAATCATTCAATAATGTTTTTAAACAAAGAGAAGATATTTAAAAAATAGAATCGTTTCAATTAAAGCTGTATTCTTCACAATGGATATTCGGATATTGATTTAAATTCAAATTAGTAGCATAAATTTTCTTAAAATTACATCCGAATCAAGTTCATTTTACTCTTCATTCCTTCTAAACGACATGAAAATTTTATGCTAGTCTCATAAAAAAAATCTTGCCGATGACTATTGACATGTATTTTATCGAAAGAATACTAGAAAGAACTACAGTAAACAGTAGAAATTTTATTTACTTTTTAAAAATATGCCACACGATAGAAATATAATAGGTTTAACAAAATTGCCATGAGTTAAATATAATGTAGAAGAAAAAGTGCCTCATGAGTATCTTATATAAAAAAAAAGAGATTTCTTATTCATAATTAAAGATTGATTTTCATGCATTAATGCTGTTTTAAAAGAAGAAGAAATTATGAAGATAAAATATGCTAAAGATAAAAAGTTTATTTGATTAGCTTTAGCCAGTTTTTTTTTCTAAAAACGTATCCTTTAGCCAATCGTTGGCATAGATGTTACGATTCCTTTCTTATCAACAAAAATCCGAACACGATCTGTACGATAATCCAGCGTAACTGGTGATCCTTCGACAATGGTCTTGACATTGGTGAATCCTATTTCGATTTATAAGTAAAGTAATTTTCTATGCATTTATGAAGATACTCTTACCTGTTTCCTTTTTAATAATTCGGACTGCTTCATCACCATCTAAGCCAATTAACTCAGGCCATTGATGTTTTCTCTCAACTGGTGCTGTTTCTACAAAGAACCAAGGACATTTTATTAAAAAACAATATGTTTTTCACTAACTTTTAACGAGTACAACAGGTGCATCAATAAAAGTTGTTCGACCGACACCTATTGGGTTTACTCCAATATGAGCATCGTTAGTATATAATAATTCATTATTTTTATTTCTTATAGTGATGCGTAATGAATAAGTTAATCCATCGACTATTTGTTTTGGTGAATATTTTATTGCAAATGCCATCGGAAATCGGATAGCCTTGCCGAATCCTCGTGCAATTACTTTTGCTGGAGCATCAGCAATTGACGTATCTTGTAATTCAACTTGTAATATTCCGTCACTTTCTATGGGTGTAGGTAAACCACTAGGGAACATAATACGACCACGCATAGTCAATTTTTGCTCAGTCACTTTAGCACTTGCAGCACCTTGAAAGGAGATTAAAATAGAATTTAAAACAATTATAAAACGTTTATATGTTTATACTGTTACCATTTGAAGCAACGGCGAAAATAGTAGCGACAACAAGAAGTATCGTTCTCATGATTCAATCTAGAAACATGCAAGTCAAACTTCATTTGCTTTTGTAGGAAGAACAACTTGTTTCGAAAATACGTATGTACAAGCATACATCTATCTTATGCAAAAGAAAAACAATGTTACTCTAAAGATAATAGCAATATATACGTATATGACAGATAGTCATAGTGGCACGGTGATAGTAGCCAAATAACTTTTCTGTCTACTGGTGAAAAAGCAGGAATAGTGCTTCTTCAGAATTGGAAAAAGAACTAATAATTACGGAAAAGAAATACGAAATGCATGTAAACAACGTATCAAATAATTGCAAATGCAAAATGATGATGTGTATGCGTTCTGTCGTCCATATTATTGTAGCAGGAAAAAAAAATGCAGTGCTTTTACGTTCTTTTAAATGCAGGCAAAAATATTGCTGGGAGAACACGAGAAAAAATTAGTCATAGTGTATAGCGTTATAAAAAATAATAGTTTATCGTTAAAATATTTTGGGTAGTGTCGTTCACTATGAGAAAATGTATAGAGACGATTTTTACTCTTATGATGATTCACTTAGTAAGCAACATGGGTTATTACAGACTCGAAATTAGTCTGCTATAATTAGAATTGAGCGACATCTTTCCTCATGCAAAACAGTCACTTTTATTGGTTTTTGAATGATTCATTGGAATTATTTGTTTTCTATTTATTTACTTGCGTGTCGAACCGGACCGGCTGAGTTTTATTTCTCTCCCATTCGTTTTATTTTCTTCCATTTTACAATCGTACTTTATTTGTTCGGTTAATCAAATTTAGTCAATGTTAAGACGCTCGTACAATTATTTTCATATTGAAATTATTTATTATTTTAGAAAAAAATTCTAGAACAATTTTATGTTATTCAAATAAGAAATGACTGTTGTTCCACCTCCAGCATCATCCGATGGTGATGCTTCACAACAGCCACAATCCCCTTCGAATACAACATTCGAATGGAAAACACTTATCGAAACATTGAGCGATAATACGAACAGTACAAAATATAATGAACTTATTCAATCAATTTTACGATGGTTTGTATTTTGAAAACAAAAATTGAAATGAAAAATTGCCTTCTATTTTAATTTCTTAGGGAAGATTTGTTGAGTCGACCAGATCCAATCAATGAACAGTTTTTAAATCCATTTGTTATTGTAGCAACGCATTATCTTATTGGAGGATTAGCACGAGGTTTGATTAAAATAATAGTCTATCGTTTTGTTTTCACTTTTATTTTCTTAGTTGAACGTTTTTATTTTACCGATGTGATAAATGTAGGAAAGTTATTGTTAAAATATCTTTTACAGAATGCTTTACCAAAAACAAATGAAACAAATAGAGTAAATATGAACTATGTCCGTCTTTCATGTGACTTAATTTGTTTATGTTTTTCTAGTTATCGATATTAAATACGATTAAATCATTATGTTATTCTCAAACATATCTTTCTGCGACTGAACTTAAAGATTATTTAGAACTAATTAAGAAATTTGATGGACCTCAAATAAATAAAGATGGTTAGCAAATTCAAAACAATGTTTTACTTAATTTTTATAATATTAATGATTTGCTTAGATCGTCGATTACGTTCATCAAGCAAGACACTGATCACTCGACGTGAAACTGGTCTTGTTGATTCGTTATGCAATTCTGTTTTATTTGACTTATCAACGTCAGATGATTCATCGAGTGGAAATAAGCGTGAACGACCACAATCAACTGGATCATCATCAAAATTAACATTTCCCAGTAAGTCGATTATATTATTTTCTCTATGCATTTTCATTTATATTTCATATAACTAATCAAATTTTGTAGAAAAAGTCAGAGGTCTTATCTTAGCCCATATGAATGAGAACTAATGTTTGAAGTCCGACAATCCTCTGTATGTACTTTCAACTAGTAGAATTTTGAATCGAAAAATGATTTTTTTCTTGAAACTTCCTTGCTAAATATTCAAATTCTTCTCATTGAACTGGATTGAAAACAATCGAATTTTCAGTAGTACTATCATCCATAAAACTTAAATCAGTAGTTTTTCGGAACAAATTTTGTACTTCATATGTGTTCAATATGTCTAACTTAATGGAACTTTCGCAGTGTTTTCGTACTTCTAATATATATATTTGAGTCAAGATTTATTACTTTCAATACACTATCTACAGTTTGTTCACATAACTAAAAACATCTTCAAATAGTAGTACTCCTGCATGAATCATAGGAAGTCAATACGGCATTGGCTTCTACATATTAATTGAAAAAACTTTAATTAATGTATTTTTTTTTCTAAATTCATTTTAGAACATATGAGTCAACTTTTATTGAATGAATTCAAACAGTTACGTGGTGAACAGTACTTCGGTGAGATATTGTTTCACATACCATTGCTGGCTGGTTCGAAAGTTAACGTGAATAATATTCTTCATAATCATATAATTATATCTGCTGATGATAAACAATTTCAAGAAAGGTATGTTGGAATAAATTTTTTTGAAAACAAAAATTGAAGATTTATATTTTATTTAAATAGCATAACATCAATTAAAAATGATCTTGATTTTTTACGTCGTACAATTCAATTGCCAATAGTTGAACCATTTGATGAGAATCGCTTAAATAAATTCGTTACTATGGCATTCAATTCACTTTTAATAGCATTGAAATATGTTCGTTTAGCGACCAATAATAACGAAATAATAACTAACGATCAAATTCTACACGATGTAGCTCGTATATGTATTAAAATTGGTGATTTACTACGGAATTCACCTCGACTTGAGAATTCACGCAATGTTTTTCTTAATTATCATCTTCTATTGGCGATTACATTAACAAAAGGAATTAAAGAAATTCTTCAGAATAATAATCTTCAAAATGAAACGCAACAACAATCAAAGTTGTAAGTAAATCTATTCATAATTTCGAACTCTAATTTTCTCTTCTATTAGATCAACAAACAATCTACTAGTTCATTTGATTGCTATTCTAATGTTTTCAACTCGAGAATTAATCAATGACATATCATATTCTAACTTGGATATTGACACTATTGATTCTATCAACGAAAAATTCTCTTTTACGAGTGTAACAACTCTACTTCAATCATCACATCGTTACGTCTATTTAAAAGAACATCAAACTTTAAAATTATTTTTAACCATTTCACATCGTCTTATATCATCGTCAACAATAAAAATTTCCACAACAATTCCTGATGCACCACCATTACCATCAGATATTCCATCAGCAGAGAATACTAGCGAAGATACATTTGGTATAAAGAATTTATTCGACGAAACAAGCTCATTAAATCTAGCGGCTCCTGCAACAACGCAACAAACAAATTATCGTCCATTACCATCATCAAGTACTCGTAAAAGGACAATATTAAATCGTTGTTTAGAAATTGATCTATGCTCAGAGGAAACGTTCGATCAAGATGATCATTATGATCTATTAAATTATCTTGATAAATATTATTTCAATCATAGTATACCAATATTAATGAATGATCTCAAATTAACATTAAATACCGATGAACAAATAGAAAATCTATCTCATTTAATTAAAAATTCCATTGTAATACCACGATTTATTCATAATGTTCTTCAACATGACACATTAACACATGCAAATGAAAATATTTTGCTTGACAAACTTGGAATTCCATTAGAACAATCGTGGCCCTTGAAAATTTCAATAAACAACTTAATAATTCTTCTTAAAGTTATTTTAAAACGAAAAAATCACGAATTAATATGTTCATTATGGGATAAATTTCTTCAAAGTATTGCAAATTCATCGGATGAATTGACTCTTGAACATTTACAAATTTTTATCGTATTCTTTCATCAAATAACCATCCCGCAACGTAAAAATATTCTTCAACAACTTGTTCAAACTATTCAAGCAACAAAACAGAATATCTATTTGTTAATTCTATTCGAATATATGATGTATAATTTTTATGAAATTCCAGAAGAAATCATTGAAAATATTCAACAGATAATTTCTAAGCATGATATTACACCTACGACAAGTTTTAATCATGTTATTACAAAAAACAATTCGAATTATCTGGATGGATTTGCATTAAAGAATCTTTACAGCAATGCAATTTACAATCAATTTTATAGTTATCTTATAGAACAATTAGATTTTACAAAAATAAATAAAGGTAAACAATTCTGATGTATCAACTTTTCACATTCGTTGATAAGTATATACGACTAGAGCAAGCTGAATACCTATCCGAACCGTGGAAACGAGAAGATGTCCAGATTGAACCGTGAAGTTAAATAAGAAAAGTTTTTCTAGTCTCTTATGAAGATTATTCTTGACGTTTCTAGTCATTCACGTGGCGTATCGTTCAAGAAATACCAAGTCAATACATAGGAATAAAACAAATACTGAGCTCATAATATCTGCAGTCATGATTCCGGATTAATGTAGACATGATTGCGAATCATTAGACTTTTTCTCATTACAAACTATAATTGATTTGTCAAAAACGATCGACTTATAGATAGTATTGCATCCAGCAGAATTTAGCATAAAGTTTTGAAGAAATTTTTAATGACAGTAAAATCCCTATTCGTTTTTGCCTGTACACGTACGTTTAGAGATAATCAATGACTGTTGTCTTAATTTCAGCTGTTGATCAAAATACTACTTTTCGATTAATCTTTGCTGCAATCTAAAAGTTTCCTATCAAAAGCTGATTCAAACCTATAGATGTTTGCATCCCTCCGTCGTCTCAAAGTCTAAGGATTTTTTGCAAACTTTCTTGTCCTATTTCATTAAATATCAAGATTACTCAAAAAAACTTGACATACTAACTTTGTATAAACTCAGAGAAAGGATTTCTATTCATTCGATATTCAAATTCCATAGACATTGCACAGAAGAAAATAATTAAATAAAGTCCATTGCCATTTTCAGTAGTAATTGAAATTTTAATCTCTAGAAGGAATAAACAATACATCGTTGAAAAAATATTATGATCTCTTATGGCGAATACTTGGCTATTTACCACCATCGACTGAATTCCTCGAAAATATGACTACTTATAGCGAAACAACTGCTCTATTACATTTGTTTCGTTTTGAAAAGAAAATCATTCAAGATAAATATATCAAAGATTTTCTCGGAAAAGAAATTTCATTTAATAATATTCAATGGTTTAAAAATCTAAACAATACGTCACATTCAATATTTGATTTAATTGTTTATCAAATATTATTACAAACGCTGACTGCAAATTCCGATGAGATCAATCGATTGTATAATGTTTTTCTCAACGAATTTAAATCAGCATTAAATACAAAGCAATATTCAGATTCATTATCTTTAATTCCAATAATGAAAATTATTGATGATAAAATGAAAACAGTAGCCATTCCAACGCTACCAAATGATTTCGAAGAATTATTTAAACATCAATTAAATTATACACTTGAACAAAATGATTTATCTCACATATTTCTTCGACAAATTCTTCAAATATTATCAACGATTAATTCTGAAATTAACGATAAACAAATCTATATTGAAATACAACTGAATCCAAATTTACAATTTCTTAAAGATCAAATTAAATTAAAAGATATTAATAATGAAACAATACAAAACGATATCAATGAATGTATCTATAAGAATATATTCGAAATATTATTCAATAAAGATTTTCCAAATGATATTATAACAGAAGATATTTATCATGATTTAATTAAATATCTCGATGAACAATTTCATATAAATATATTTCAAAATTGTCTATCACCCTATGATCTATTTGATTTACTTTATTTAACAGCAAAGTCAACATCATCATTATCAACATCTGCAAGAATGTTAATGTTGTTTAATAAAATATTTTCTTATTCAAATCAATTTCAATCGTCAATGGAAAAACTAAATCGTATTGCCGATTTAACTAATGAACAATTATCGGCATGGTTATCGAAACTTGTTTTAGTACAAAATAATGAAAAAAATCCATTATATACACCAGAACAATATAAACATATTTTAGAAACATTTACAAAATATTTAATTAAGAAAAATGACGATGGTACTAATATGACTGGCGAAGAAGTTTCGTTATCGATTCTATCGGTTTTGATACAGTTAGGAAATGAATTGTTAAAATCAAATAAATCTGCATTAGGATTCTCACAAATTATACAATTATTAGTTATATTAGCTGGGCACGGTTCGGGTAATGGGCATACCTATTTATTTCAAGCTACAGCAATTTGGTTAGAATTTTGTGCTGATGCACTTACGGATACAAATGAAAAGTAAGAGTTCTTTTTTCTCTAATAGATCTTTGTTATTTTTCAATTATTTCTATTTTAGTTCCACATCAGCTCTTGTTTCTTCATTGTCGACAACTTCATCTGTCGAACCTTTGAATCTCTTGCATTTCAATATTCTTGAAGCCAGTGTTCATTTACTGACGTATATCAATGATATTCTGATTGCTCTAAAGCAAATATCAACAAACGAATCAGCATCATTGAAATCTCCAGTGAAAGGCGATGAAATCGACGATGAAGATGATGATTCACAAGACGATGAAGATCTCATAAATGATCAAAAGAAAAATTTTCTTTCTTCAACAAATCAAACAGAATATGATCCTAATAAATTATGTACTTATACAACAACGAAAAGAGAATATGCTAATCAACATTGGTATCATTGTCATACCTGTAAAATGATTGATCGTGTTGGTATTTGCCAAATATGTGCAAATGTATGCCATAAAGATCATGATATATCTTACGCAAAATATGGTTCATTTTTTTGTGATTGCGGTGCTAAAGAAGATGGTTCATGTCAAGCATTAGTTAAGCGTTCAATGATAGCAACAACAACAATAACAACTCAGCCGATTAGTTCAAACACATTATTACGAAAGAAAAAATGTAAAAAATCAATTTCATTATCAAGTAGAAAAACAAAGTTAACAAATCGCCAACGTCGTTTAATTCGTCAAATCAATACAAAACAACAAGAATTTCATTCATGTATACAAAATAAGCATATACCATCGAATACACTTCGTCTATTTAAATTACTTCAACCGTATATTAACAATGAATATCAACGAATTTATAGTATTGAAAATAAATTTGATTTAATATCAGAATATTTAAAATCAAATGAATCCACATCAATTGAAAATGAAGATAATAATAAACAACAACAATTATATACTAGTATATTACATTCACAAGACAATGCATTTGAAAATGTTAAATTATCATTTACAAATGAACATGGCCAACAAATAAAACAATTACTTGGTACGAATTCTATTCGTCGTCAAGGCATGTGCATAATGTCATCTTTGAATTCTGAACAATCAAAACAACATTTAATTGTTAGTCAAGAAAAAGGCAAACAAGCAATGATAACTGTTTTACAATTGAGTCCACTACTTAAACAGACATCATCGATGATTAATACTGTATCAAATGATAATTCAACGAAAAAAAAATTAACATTAAATAAATTAAATACATTTAATGTACCATTTACGATTTTATCTATGCAACCAAATCAATTAAATAGCGATTATCTATGCATAACTGGTTTAAAAGATTGTCAAATTTTAAATATTGATAATAATGGAAGATTAAAAGAACCGACGATTACTCTTCAACCAAGTTTAGATTCAACAGGAAATTATATTATACGAGCACAATGGTTATCGGATAAAAATCAAGCGCAAATTGCATTGCTAACAGCTGATTTTATTAAAATTTATGATTTAAGTGTTGATACCATAAGTCCTATTTATTATTTTATTCTTCCTACAGGTAATTTATTTTATTAGCGATACTTCTGTTTTTTGAAAGGGAAAATTATTACGAGTAGTCGACGTGAATACGATTGTTTAATCTGAAAATATTTATTATAGATCAAACTTAGGAAACATGTGCTCGAAAAGCACAACTAGACGATCTACTAAAATGATTATGAGAAAAAAATCTCACAACATGCCTTGCTTTAGTTATATAGACATTGCTCTAACAACTACTTTACCTTGATGTTATACTATAATTTTCTCATCTCGTTATGTATTTCTTTTTTGAAAATAAGATAAATCTTTTATTTTTAGGCAAAGTACGTGATTGTACATTTTATCATACAAAACGTAATAACATCGAATGTTGTTATATATTTATCATGGCTTCGAATGGTTATATATACTATGAACAGTTATCTGAATCATCATCAGCTCGTAATGGTTCATTCTATGTAACAAACACACTCGATATCAAACATGAATCAATCAGTGAAACGAACAATAACGGGATTTTACTTGGTGGTGGTGTATCGGTTTACTTTTCTTCGACAATAAAACTTTTATTTTGGTCATATGTTCATGGAAAAAATTTCTATGGTATTATCGACGAAGTAAACGTAGAAAAACTATTAATGATACGTTCAATTGATGTTAAAATGACTCCGACAGCATCGACAAATGGTAATAGTAAATCAACATCAACCTATCATACATTATGTGCATGGTCAGAAATTGCTCATCATCCTGGCTTAATTTATACAATGACACAAATGACAAATAATCCTGTTGTTTTAATGATAACACCATCGACTGTACGTTCGAGTGAAATAAAAATGCCCATAAAAACAACGAAAATTCAAGATATATCTGCAATTCGATATGATCAACGTACAACATTTATTCTACTAGCTGATGATGGAAGTTTAAAATTTCTATTAGCTGAATTTGATAAAACAAATTATTGGTTAAATAAACTTTATCAAAAAAAGAAATATTTTCCTATGATAGATTTAGATTACAATGAAGAAAGTTTCGATTATGAGAATATAAATTATCAATATTCATTATCCGGTAATGAAACCGATGATCAACAAGAACCAACACTCAAACGTCGAAAACAAACAACGACAATAACTACAGCAGCAGCAGCAGCAGCAACTAATTCAACAAATGAGCCATCGAACGGTTTAGTTAAATTTTCTGTAGACTTTTTTGAATCATGTCATTTATTAACTGATTATGAATTTGGTGGACGAGATTTACTTGATGTTTATAATGTAGCTCAACTTAAATTACGTTTATCAACGCCAGGAATGTTTGTTGCCAATGTTCGAACAGGTGGTTTTACACTTGAAGTTATTAACAAAGACTCGGACAATATGGTTGTGACTGGTGTTCGAATACATATTGGATTATATTCAATGGACAAGTCTCCACAATATTTTGAATTATTTGGACGTACAGTACAAGTGAACAATTTACAAGGGCCACGTTGGTATGATTTATGTTTAACACGCGAAGAATCAATCCAAGCTGAGAAGAAATTTAATATTTTCATTGCACAATCCGTTGATACGAATCATATAACAGTTATTGATGATGCTAAAGTTTATGGTAAAACAAAAGAAGAATTTCAATGGCCAGAAAATGCCGATGGGTCATTATTAACTGCAGCAACAAATGGTGGACTAACAACAACAGCAACGACGGCAACATCAGCAATCAATGGATATTTACATTCATTTAGAGAAACAAATGATGAAAAAGAAGTATCTGCATTGCCTTTACCCGATAGGTTTGTTATGAGTTTTAAATTGAATAAAATTTAAAAAGAACAAAACAAGTTATATTAATTATTTTTCTTTCAGGTTACTTGTTTATAGTATGCAAGTTTTAACTGGTTCATTATGTTTACATCATAATCTTGATGAACAAAATCGTTCGAAATTGAATTCTGATATTGTTCAATATACTTCTCATATGTTTCATATGTCATTACCACCACAAATTCAACGTTATTCACGAAGATTATTAAAAGAATTTTTCTCGTCAATTTCCTCGTCTGATTTTGATTATTACGAACATGTTGATCGTTTACAATTGACATTTCTATCTGAATGTTTGTCATCAACAAATTATTTAGAATTATTCAATGATATTCAATCATATGAATATTTACTTTTATCATTATTAGCCATAACACGTCGTCGGCCACATAATATAAATCGATTTTTAAATGTAATTCAAAATGAAACAAAAGATGCTATATCAAAAACAGCATCCATGGAAATATTTATTCCATATTTAATCAATATATTCTTTAATCTATTGAATCAACGTCCATCAAATTCATTAGTTGAATCCATCGATAATAAAACAATTAATATAAAACAAATTGAAAAGCTTCTTCATATTCTTGTTGATATCTATCATTCATTAGCATTAAATGAACCTAATCTATGTATGAATTTAATTGTTGATTCATACATTCGTCTATTAACTTATCAGGATTATCATATAAATTTTATAATAAAAAATGCATTAAATCGTTGTATGCAACCAAATATTCAACGTTTAATATCGAAATTATCTATGGCAAGTGATTTAAATCAACAAGATACATCCGAAAAGCAATTTCATGCATTACCATTATCAGCACAAATTTATCCAACGAATGAACAACATCATCTACGTTGGGTAGATCCATCAGCAGCAGCAGCAACAACAACGACAACAGCAACAGCAACAACAACAACAACAATAACAACAACGAATGCAGCAACAATAACAGTCACCGACACAAACACCACGAGTACAAATCCAGTTGCAACAGATGAAACAGCTATGTTACAATATGCACTTGCATTAAGTATGTCAGAAAATCCTGATCAAGCTTCATCATCAACATCGAATATTCAACAAACAATTGAATATGTTGATAATGATGATGAAAATCCAACAATACAAAATGATGTTGAAATCAATCAAATGATGGAATTAATGATCAATACAGATAATGTTAATCAACAATCAACAAATCCACAGAATGATCATAGTGATAATAATAGTTTATATGAAGGTGATGATGGTCACGTATCAGAATCAAGTTCAACAACAAATGAAGGTACAGAACAGAATAACAACGAGAATAATACATCAACGCCAATACCAGCACCACCATTATCATCATCATCGAATGATTCAAATACGACAATTAAATTAAATACAAATGAATCAGTTGATTCAGGCATTTATGAGCAACGACTGTATGATTTAAAACATTTGATTGTTGAAAAATTATTAGATAATCTTGATGAATATTTATTAAATAATTCAACATTAAATGGTTTAAATTCAATTGCTTATTTACAATTATTATTAACATTGACTATTGAATTTGCATCGAAATCCGATGAACAAAATCAACAATTTGTTCATTATATATTAAAAAGTTTATTAAGACAAATGACATTTTTAAAAGATGCTAATCAAACTATGACCAATGATTTAATTAAACGTACATCACAACATGAAATACAATTAATGTTATTACGATTATTTACTGTTTATATTTCATTTATGCTCAAAGTACGTGATAATGAACGTGATCAATATATGTATTTATCATTAACAGCAGCTAGACAACTAGAAGAATCAAATGCTGTTGATTATTGTTTATATGCATTACAAACTGTTTATAAATATTTAGTTAAACAACCTATCGATGAAAATCTCGTAAACGAACAGACAACTCAATCGCCCAGTGGTGGTGCAACAACATCAACAAACAATGCACAAGCATCGTCAATATCATTGATGACACTTTTAAAACCAGCTAGTCAACAGTCATTACCGGATCTATCACCATTCTTCTATAAACAATATACGAAGCATCATGCTAATGACGTTTTTGAAGCCTACCCAGAATTGTTAGCAGAAATTGCAACACGATTACCATATCAAGTAAGTTGAAGAGAAGATTTGTTCGGAATAAGGTTTTTGTTTTTGTCTTTAAAAGCGAGTGAGATATGCAGAAGTTTTATCATTGAGTAATCTATAAACATGTTGTTCAAAAATAGTTTCCTTAGAAGTTACAGCGTTTCCAAAAATATTTTCTCTTTTTTTCATAGATGAAGAAAGTGATTGACGATGCATCTGATCTACGTCCATTTATACTTTCGTCGGATTGGCAAAAATGTCTATGCGAATATTATGTTCTACCACAAGGTTCATTTCTTAAACGTCAAATTCGTAAATTACTCATGTATATTTGTGGTTCACGTGATAAATATCGTAAATTACGAGATTTTCATGTCTTATCAACAAATATAGCTGAAATAAAAGCAATTTATGACGAAAATTTTTCACTAATTACTAACGATCAACGTAAAACAATCTCGACACAAATTCCCTATGCAACATTAATGCGTCTCATTGATCATTTAAAATCTTGTCAAGATATAAGTATTCAACGTTGTTCAAATTGGCAAAAATTTTGTAAAAATGATTCATCCGTATTGAACTTTCTCGTTCAATTAATCATGCTTGTCGATGATTCATTAGTACCATTTATTCTTCATTTATTAATTAATTCAATATCATCACCTTCGTCGTCATCATCTTCAACAGCTGCAGCAGCAGTAACAAATACATCATCATCAAATCGAACATTAAAATCAAGTAAATCTGTTCGTGCAAATGATTTTGATACAGCCGATGATATATCAATTTGTTCAATAGCGTTACAATTTTCTAAAATTATCTCAAATAGATTATTAGAAGATTTCATTCGTTTATTTTTATTAGAAAATAATCAACAATCAATTCGTTGGTTAACACATACATTCTTATATAATCTATATATGAGTTCAAATAAACAATTACAAGATTATATATTCGATTTATTGATTAATATGTGGCCAATAATACCAAATTTTGGTTCGAAATCATTTCAATACATTGATTTACTGGGCTATATTATTATTAAAAATAAAGATGATAAACGTACGACTGAGTTTTTACCACAATTAGAATCAATGCTAAAAAAAGAAAATCAATTTTTATTGAACCATCCAAATACATCGATCTATCGTCGTCTATCAACAATAATTGATATCGAACAAAATAATGGTTATTATTTCGAAACTGAACCATGTTTAGTTTGTAATAATCCTGACATATCTTATCAACAAGTTAAATTACAAACGATTAAACTTGATCAACGTTATACAACACAATCACATATTATTAAATTAATTCAAGCATATTCAATACAAAAATTACATATTAAAATGTCAGAAATAAAGCGTAATAAAGCTGTTCGAACAATAAGATTCTATTATAATAATCGGCAAGTACAATCAATAGTCGATTTAAAAAACAGTGTCAATTGTAAATGGTTATTAGCTAAAACAATTAAATTAACAAATATACAGCAAACAGAAGTTAAAATTGATTTTGTTATACCGATTATTGCTTGCAATTTAATGATTGAATATGTTGATTTCTTTGAAACACCAGCAGCGAATTTACCGACAGTTACAGACACGACAACATTACAATGTCCAAGATGTAATTCAGCTGTGGCAGCAACACCAGGCATTTGTCCCAATTGTGGTGAAAATGTTTTTCAGGTTAGTATGAAACTACGACGATGGAATCCATATAAAAGAAAGACGAAGGATTGAAGTTTAGTAAAATTTAAAAAAAAATCGATTTTTCGTATTGATTCAGTCAAATCAATACATATCTTAGTTACCCACTGAAATCTTCTTAATCTAGAGCTTGCGTATATGTATGATTCAAATATTTCTACACATTTTTTTAATCTTTGTTTCTATTTTATCTAGTGTCATAAATGCCGATCGATAAATTACGATGAACGTGATCCATTTCTATGTAATTCTTGTGGTTATTGCAAATACTGTAAATTTGATTTCATATTTACTGCAAAACAAGTTAATTATATTGAACCTATTGAATCCGATGAAGATCGTGCTAAAACGATCACAAATATAAGTCAATTATTAGAAAAAACCGATAAAATCTATCGTCAATTAATTAATCAGAAACCAATTCTTGAATATTTATTAACAAAACTCAATTCTGACGATCAAAGTTCAACGCTAATTCCTTCATTATCATCAACAACAACAACAACAACCACAACCAATACTGTACCAACTGGTGACACAGCTGATCCTCAACAACAACAACAACCACCAGCTGTTCCTACACCTACCGTTGCTCTAACATCTGCCAATAATCCCAATGGTATCAATCGCATTGTTCAACAAATTGCACCTAAATACAATACTGAATGTCGTCAAACCTATGATGAACTTGGTAAACATATTCAAAAAATAATCTGTGCACGTAAAGAACTTTATACATATGATCAACGTCATTCAAGTTCATCATCGACAATAATTCTTTCAACTCCATCACGTTCTCATCATTGTTATGGTTGTACATTATCAACCATATCTCATTGTATTCTTCTTCTTCGTGCATTTGCTGCTTCATCAAATCGTTTAAAACAATCGATAACAAATAATATTTCATTAATTGACGAATTACTATTAAATAATATTCGTTTTACAAATCAACAGATTCGTCATGATGTACGTTTATTATTTTGCTATTTAACACGTGATAATTCTCAATTAACCGATTATATAACAGCAAAAATTTTCAATAAAATCGAAACAATATTTCAACAAAAATTAGTTTTATCATCATCGTTAATTAACTATGATCTATTAGTTCTTTTTTCACTTATACAACGTTCAAATCAAGATGATAATGATCTATGCTGGGAAAATAAATTACGTTGTATATTTAAATTATTTCTCTATTCATTGAAAATTTCTACACCACAAATTCTTGAATTAATAACATTACCTTGTTTAAGAATGCTCTTACATCTATCGAAACCATTAACAACAAATACAAAATTAACCACCATTGATATTGAAAAATTCCTAACAAAACAAATAACTTACAATGATTGGAGTAATAATTCACAGGATAAACAGTATCAACCAACAAAAACAATTAATTCATGGTTAGAACAATTAATATTTTGTCCACAATCAGCAACCATAAGATATTTAACATGTAAATTAATACAAACACTTTGTACAAATGATAAACAAAAATTATATATTGTACAAATATTAATAAATTATTTACATCTTATATGTGATGAAAATCTATCGAAATATTCTTCTGAATATGTACAATTAATTAAAGATTTGCTATTAAATGATAATCAATTAAAATTATTACTTTGTAATGATGAACAATTTAATATAATTAAGCATATTGCATTATTAATTGAAAATCAAATAATTCTTATTAATAAACAAGATGAAAGAAATTTATCGAATTCAAATTTAACATTTGGTTATTCAATAAAATGTTTAACTGAATTATTACATTTATTTCTTCAACAAGATGAATTAAAACAAAAATATAAATCAATATTAATTGCAATTGTTCTAAATGGATATTTGTCATTGAAAAAATTAATTGTACAACGAACAAAGCTGATCGATGAGGCACAAAATAAAATGTTAGAGCTCTTAGAACAAATGACACGAGGAAATGAGCAAGAAACAAGGCAATTTATGATTATTTGTATTGATACAATTGAAAAATTTCAATTATCTGACATGCAAACACCATTATTTATATTTGAGCGGCTATGTAATTTAATCTATCCCGAAGAAACTATGCAAGAAAATAAAGAATTTTTTATTGTCGTGGAAAAAGATCCCAACCAAGAAGATTTCTTACAAGGTTTGTTTAGAGAAATATTTTTCTTTTTCGATATACTCGGTATTTTCATCTGCAGTTGATAATAAATCTACAATGATGTCTTATATTTTGTAATTGTTTGTTTTTTTTCGTTCAAGGTCGAATGATGGGTAATCCATACAGTTCAGCAGATCCAGCTATGGGTTCATTAATGCGTGATATAAAAAATAAAATTTGTACTGATTGCGAATTAATTGCATTGCTCGAAGATGACAATGGCATGGAATTACTGGTTGCAAATAAAATTATTAATCTTGGTTTAGCTGTTCGTGATGTTTATAAAAAAGTCTGGCTACCTTTTATAAATACTCATCAAGGAAGTTCACCAAATGCAGATCCAACAGCCGGTGGTGGTGGTGGTGGTGGGCCACAACCAGTTGTTAATCCTTCACAGAATGATCATGAACCTATGCATATTGTTTATCGTATGCGTGGTTTACTAGGTGATGCAACGGAAGATATCATTGAAACATTTGATACGAAGAAAAATGCTAATGAAAATGGTGAAGATGATCCCGAAAATATCTATAGTTTAGCAAATGTTCTTAGTGAACACTCAGGTTTAGAAACAATGCTCAAACGTTTAGATTCAATTTATGATATGTCATCAGGAAAGGCTCTATTGCATATTTTATTGAAACTATTCGAGTATGCTATTAAACTTAAACTAAATCGACAACGTTTAATTGATCCAAAATTACGTGCTATATCATCGATGTTAAATAAACTTAATTTATTATTAAAAACTGAAATTGAAGAACAAGGGCGTGATCAAACACTTCTATCATTAACTGAAAAACTTCTTTTTATTATGGATCAATTATTTCATGAAGCAAGTACAACATTATCACAAGATAAATATAATGAATTTTCAGTTTCATGTGAAGGTGAGTCATTGTTTCTTCTAATGCCAAAAATAATTTGGAGACTAGACATTTCCTTATAAATTTTTTCTTTTAGGTGATATCGAACAATTACGATCATTACTTAATTATATCAAATTACCATTTGTTAAAAGTCATCCAAGTTTAATGCAAGCTCTTATTCATCTTTTACCTTATTTATCATTTGGAAATAAAGAAAAAATGCAAACATTACTTGATTATTTTAAATTATATCTTGAATTCGATCGATTTGATCTTGAACATTCATCATCATCAACAACAACAACAACGGCAACAGCATCAAATGATAATGATAGTCAATTACATTTAGATTGTTTCTGTGAAGTTTGTAAACATTTAGATAAAAAATCTGTCTATGGTAAAGAATTTCGCGATCTTGTTAATGAATCCAATGGTATTATTGATCAATGTATAAAGTATATTGAAATCAATTCACCACAAGTCAAAACCTATTTAGGTATGCAAGATCATGATAGTTGGAAAGAATTTTTAAATAAACCAAGTTTATCGTATGTCTTACGTTTATTGACGGGTTTATCCTATGGACATGAACATATTCAAATGAAAATCGGCCAAAGTTTAATACCAGTTTTACATAAAATAGAACAATTGACAACAGCTGGTAAAGTTGGTGTTCTAGCTGAAGATCTTCTACATTCATTGACTGAAAATGAACAAGTTGCGAAAAAAATCGACGATGTTCGCAATCAAACACGTGCAGAAAAGAAACGTTTAGCACAAGAGGCACGTGATAGAAAAATGCGCGAACTAAATTTAACAAAAATATCACGAAATAAAAGTGTTTCAGAATCATCCGCAGCAGGCGCATCAAAAATACCCGTAGCCAATGTTGATTTAGCCGATGAAACGGGTCATGTTTGTTGCATTTGTCGAGAAGGTTATAAATATTTTCCCAATAAAGTTTTAGCTGTTTACACATTTACGAAGAAAGTTGATATCGAATCGTGTGAAGCTAAAACAAGAAAAACACCTGGTTATGCAACTGTAACACATTTTAATATCATACATATTGAATGTCATACATCAGCTATTAAACAAGCGCGATCAAGAGATGAATGGGAATCAGCTTTATTACAAAATGCAAATACACGTTGCAATGGTTTATTACCACTTTGGGGTCCTGATGTTGCTGAAGCTCAATTTACAACAGCACTTGCAAGGTTCGTGTGTTTTTTAAATATGTGATTGGCATTGGCTATCTTTTTTTTTTCTCATTAATATTTAGATATGATGCAAATATCACTGACGCAACAGGCATTCGTGAAACTTCACCAACACTGTCAATTCATGACATCAAACTTTTATTACTACGTTTTGCTGATCTACAATCATTTAGTGAAGATACAGGTGGTGGTGGACGAGAATCAAATATACGTTTGATTCCATATGAAATGCATACCATTCTTTATGTTCTTACAACGTATGTTGAAAAGTTCGTTTTTTTTTCTATAATTAATATTTTCCCCTGAACTTTTAGAACTCGACAAATTGAACGTGAAGAGAAATTATTGCAAAATTTCCTTGCTCGTCCTGATTTATTGATCAATGAAGCATTTGAAGTTGATGGCCCATTTTTTCTCACAATATTATCATTGATTATAATGAAACCAAATGATTGGGAAAAAAATCGTCTTATTTTTCTACAAAAACTTCTTGTTACGACACATATTCGATCAGTCAATTCACCTAATGATCGAACAAAGTAATAAAATTAATTCATTTTAGAACAATCTAATTATTTTCTTATTTTTAGAATCGCTTCAAAACCATTGAAACCATTTGCAACCTATAAAACAGCTCTTGTCTTTTTTGGTCTTGTCAATGCATTTTTTATTCATATGTTAAATTCTGTAAGTTAAAGAAAATAATTTCATGCGTAAGAGATAGATTATCGTTGTTTTTTTTCTAGTGTTTTGATGCAACATTAACCACACCCTACAATCAACAATTGGCACAATTTCTTCGTGGCAACGATGCTCTCATCATGGACGCATGTACAAGAATCTTGAAACATTTTGAACAAGATCTACTTCAAAGTCAAACATTTGATACACTATTTAATGCATTAGAACTGAGTCAATTATCAGAACAATGGATACAAGATGCTATTAATGCATTGCCATAGAAAGAAATAGGAGAAAAACTCTTACATACAATCTTTATTCATCCTTGAGCTTGCTAAAATTTATGTTTCCTTGCCGTCTTGGATATTTTAAGTTTCCTCTTCTTTTTGTTTGTTTTTTTTCAAGCTAAAAATAAAAAATATACAAGAAACAAATGACTCATTGTTACTTTGGCAAACTATTCTCTCATGTAAAATGCTAATTCTTTTAGGTTTCAAATAGAAAAACCGTTTCATTTACTTCAGTTACCGGACACATGGTTTATGATTGTAGGTAGTAAGCAATAAAATATAAGCGATAGTGTGATGATGATCGACAGAATACCTGCTTTTTTTGTGTTATATTCTTTTCTTTCCTTACAATTACCTATGCAAACACACGTGTCTGCACGTTGCCATTATTTATTCAAGCATGTTGTATTAAAAGAATCATGCATCATATTTTCATTTTCAGTTTTGTTGAGATGTCTGACGAAAAGATATTTGCTATCTCAGATCTTCACGTCGATCAAACAGAAAATATGCAATGGGTTGAACAATTGTCAACGAACAAATATTTAAATGACACAGTAATAATTGCAGGTTAATATATTTTTAAAATTAATTCTAAGAGAACATTGTCTGCTACAATTATATATTCGATCATGGTAGGCGATGTTACTCATGTTCTGTCGAAATTGATTCGTACATTAGAAATATTCAAGTCAAAATTTAAAGATGTTTATTATTGTCCGGGTAATCACGAATTATGGACACGATCCAATAGAGAAGATGAAGAATTACATATTGATAATTCTATAGAAAAATTCCACTATGTACGATGATCATTTATTCTCATTATTTGCTCATGTAAATTTATTTGATTTTCTCTAGATACTGAAAACTTGCGAAAATCTTGGTGTACATACAAAATCAGGCGTTACTAGTCAAGGTGTAACTATTGTGCCCTTAAACGGATGGTTAGTATCGCATTGATGTTGCTACTCTTAAGTTTATCTGTCTAAACAAAATATTTATACAGTACTTTGTTTAATTCTTGTTTTTAGGTATGACGATAGTTTACATGTACCAAGTCCAAACGTTACAAGTGATTTACAACTCTGGAGTGACTATTATTCATGTAAATGGACTAATGTAAGAGAAACTAAGATTTATATTTTAAAATTGTATTTTTCTTTTCATACGTAAATAGGAAGTACCACAGCATCTAGCTGCAAAATATTTTACTACACTCAACGAAAAGTATATATCTAGTTTTAAAGAAAATAGAAATAATTCGAAAATCATTACATTTTCACATTTTTTAACAAGCAAGTATGTGTGATTGGCATTATTGCTAATGTAATTTTACTCTATTTTTATCTTAATATAGAAAATTAATGAAAGCATACATCGATGAAATGTCTCTTCGTCGACAAAAATGGCTTGACAGTCGAAAAGGTACACCAAGCATAGAAGAATTGAAGAGTGGAACAATGACAGCGAATTTTTCATTAGTGGCTGGAACTGAATTATTAAATGAACAATTGAAATTAATTAAACCACAAGTACACATATTTGGTTAGTAATACTGAATAAACAGTCTGTGCTTGAAATTAAATTTCTATTTATTAGGTCATAGTCATCGTAAAATGGAATTGGATATTGATGATGGTATTAGATATATAAATAATCCACTTGGTTATGTAAGAGAAAGAGAAACAGGAGTAATCAAGTCACCTCCTGAACTTTATGAAATAAATCTAAACGAAAAATAAATAAAGATAACTTATAAGATTTTTTTAATATCAAATATATTATTTATTATCAGTTGAATGCTAATGACAGAAGATCATCGTTCCTAGTCAGAAGGGCGTGATGGGAAAAGAGCGAAAAGAAAAATATAGAAAACGAAATCGAGGGCCGAAAATGTGGATGTAACAGTGAGGGTGATGTTTTTGATGTTTTTATGTTGTATCTTTTTCCATCCGTTCGTTTTTGTTTTTCAAACTCCGCTAAAATATTTTGTGAATTTGGCACGTAACAACAAAATTATAAATCCTATCTAACCGGCACGTGGAGTGAGTTTAAACGGGCAACTGACAAATAACTGTTTTTCTTACTGAGCATTCAATAACACTGAAATCGAGAATTCAACGTAAAACTGAACTTTTCAAATTGATTAAAGCATTTACTGAAACTATGAATAATGATATTTAAAATTTTTGCAACCACTACATAGACAAAAGAATCTTCAGTTTTCCATTCTCAAGACTAAAGATATCAGTACTCATTCTTAATTGTGTTGTGTTTAAGTAATGAAGGGTGTAGGGTGCCTTTATAATTTCAAAAATTTAATATTAACGATTTCTGAACCTAGATTGAAATTTTCTTATCTATCGAATGATAGGACGATGTCGGGTCTACATTATATTTTAGAAGTCGACTTGTAACCGTTTATTCTCATTTTTAATAATTGAGAGCGAAGTCGTAGCTACAGCTTCACAGCCAGTTAGCGTTCGGAACTGATGTGGTCTACTTTGTATGACGAGTAGTTTTCAGAGCTGTCTCCACTTTTGTGGCTTAAATCAAATTATGAACTATTATTCGTTCAATAATTAAATTATTACAGTAGTAACAATAGCAGTTGACCTACAGCAATGAAAGGAAAAATATAATAGAACCGTTGTATTAATTAAGATAACATAACAGACATATCAAAGTAATTCTGCCAATCATATCTACCATAAATAGGCAGCATCCCCGAAGCATCTACGACTGGGTAAAAGTTCTGACGATCGTCATTATTTTTTTTACAGAGCACAGTAATATCAGTTCAATTAAAGATCGCGTTTTAGTTTTATTGAAGAATAATGACAAGCACAAATATGTGCACGAAAGGAGAAGAGACAATATACGTGTAAAGCTTTTGATGTAGTTTGTGCGTACCAATGATACACTGTTGCCTATGAAAACAAATCATAATATTACAACTGATCATTTTTTTGTGTTCTATTTATTATTCTCTATTTCAAATAGTTACAATCAAAAAGCAAAATAGCAATTCTGAATTAGTCGCTTAAATAGGCGGTTAGTAAATTTTGAAAATTTCTATTCTTGTTTTATTAACTGAATTACTGAAATTGTTTATTATTTATTTTCCAAGAAATGTGCTACTGAAAGAAAGAATAAGTCGCCTTTCATAAGTTCGTAAATTTAATACTTATCAATTTCCTATGTATTTGGAAAATTTCGCTAACGAAACTTTTAAAAACTAAACTTATTACTTTAATTATCGATTGGATTATTATGCCAGTTGCGAAAAGTGGGAAAAGCTTGTTTGAATTCTTTCCAGTAGACTTTCGATGGTACAACAAAAATAATAAAGAGGAGTATTGGTGGTAAAAACGAAATAAAATATCCAAATAAGAAAAAATGAATTAAATCACGAGCTGACTTCATACATTCAGCCAGAAAAGCCAATAGGGTGCGGGGTAAAGCTGTAATGACCAAGACGATTGAACTAATAATTAAGTATTCGTGTTCACGAAATTGATTTTGTAGGTGAACACGAAACATGACATTTTTTATTTAGACCGACGTTTAGTAAGAAGAACAATTATATCAAAAGCAGAAATAAGATTAACAGCAAATGAACAAGCAAAATGCAGGACCGTGTTGATTGATGTATATTTATTGAGGAGAAAAGATGAAGAATTTGAATAATGAATAATGCACCAAATGCGTCCTTCATCTTCGTCTTCGATTAATGATCGATTCAGAGGCTTCTGAATAGACGTACCAGTAACAATGATACAAACTAACAGAATAATGTATTTAGCCACTTGTCTACTCGAGTTTTTCTTGAAATTTGTACGCTTCATAATAGCTATCAGACGCAGGGTTGCCAGCCGTACCCCATTTGAGCCTTTTGTACCTCAAAAAAATTTGTACCTCTGAGGTACGCATTTTGTACCCCGTCTGCAATTTTCAATGTTACGACTATTATCATCCATATTTTGGTTGAAACTAAGAAAATTTCTGTCTCTTTATCCGACATTTACTATTGATAAAGATGTGAAGCGCCAATTATATTGGTCGGCTGCTAATGGTCATGTTTATGAAGAATTCAACAATGACATATGCAACGAGTCCCATGATGAAGATAATCTCATTCACAAACTGACGACCGAAAATCATGAAAGAGAAGTGGAATTTCGGTCTAATCAATTTTGAACTTTTCTTCTTGTAAAGTCGAAATCAATGTGTATTGAAATGTACAAAATTATTTCTTATGTGTACTCAATTCCTTGCTCGAATGCATTTGTTGAAGGCGTTCTTAGTCAAAGAAAAAGCGTATGGACGGGCAGTCGCAATTTGACGGTGAATGAAACGATAGCTGCTGAATTAAAAATCAGATTTAATAGTACTATGACATATGAAGATTTTTTTCTTTTGGCCAAACAGAACCGCAACTGATAAAGGTTGCCAAAAGTCAACAAAAATACAGTTTCGAAAAAAAGCGTGCAACAGTTAGTGTAAATATAAATCGAGAAGGTTCGCTTTGACTGAGCATTGTTTTATTATGATTGAATTGAATATATGTATGTCAAAACGAAATTTTATTGTGAACATACTTATTAGAAAATAAAGCTTTCAATTTGAAAGCTAGACTTTACAGTAAAACGGAAAACTGAGAATGCCCTTTCCTGATTGAAAATTGATTTCCGCAGCCGATGGCCAGTGTGAAAGATGTAAACTGCGTACCTCACGAATGTACCCCATTTACAACTGAGTTGTACCTAACGTGTACCCCATTCCGAAATCAGTGTACCCCATTTGGGACCTGAACAGCTGGCAACCCTGAGAAGATCAAAAGAAGAAAGGAAAAAGGAAATGAACTAGTCTAATTGTCATACCTTTTGCATCTGTTTTATCTCTTACGCAATGTAGATATTTAACTGAGTTAGGTCTTGTTGCGTCGAAAATAAAAATATGACTGTTCTCGTTTCGTCGAAAAAATGAATCCTAATTAATTGAGTAGCTGTCTAATTCGAGTTCGAATATAAATGAAGAAAATAAAAAGTTAAACAAAGACTAAATCTAGGAATAGATTTAGTTTTAGTTTAACTTTCCGATATATGCGACATATGAATACATAAATACCCTTCACCCCCATCCACATTTGAGCACCCCTCCATGGTATTCATCACCCACACGCACATTTGAAGTATCACGGGTACCCCCTCCCATCTGCACCCCTTTTGGGTACCCTTCACCCACACACATAGTTACCTCTTAGCCTCCCTCAACCCACGCCCACTCCATCTTAAACTAAATATAATACTAAAACTAAATCTAAAACTAAATTTATTTCTATCACTTATTTTCGAATTGATACCATGCAGTTGGGTGTCCATTTATATTCAAATTCGAACTAGGCATCTCATGAACTAATTGATGGAAAATAGAATATATCAATTGATAAGATGCTTTCCCTACTAATCAAAAGTAGTGCCCGATCAGGTGAAGATAATTCTATCGAAAAAATTTATTTTATAGAAAGTTTATACACATAAATAACAAACTAGTAAGAGAATATGAATATAAAAGAAGACAAATCAATATTTTATTATTCTAATTAATTGCGAAACTTGATTAAGATATTCATCTAATGTCAATGTTTTTTGTTTGAAACGTTTTTCTAAATTTTGTAATCTTGCATTTCGATTAACAAATAATTTTTTACGTGGAGACAATGCACCAGTTTTTAAATGAAGTGATAATATTGCCATAATGTATAATCAAATAATCGATCATTATCTATCCATGTATTTGTTACATAGTCGTAAAATTCACCTATATTACCAATATCTTGATATTCATCCATTATTATAACCCCCAAATTACTAATCTCTTGTGGTGGCATGAATGCAAGTGCGCATGTTTTTTTTTATAAAGATTTCTAACATTAATTTGATTCATATCACTTGATTTCTTGTCGATAAATGCAGATTGAAACCCCAACTCCTGTAGCTTGGTATAAATACACTTATTAAGTGGAAGTTACATCCTTTGACTATAACATTTGGAAAAACTAATTTAATAGACATAATAGCAGCTTGTTCAAAGTCAATAATAACAAACTTTGGATTAAGACAAATATCATTTATATGGCATAAATTTAATATAGAATTAAAAGTTAATATATATGTTAGACCTTTTTTTATCAGGTAATAAAGTGAACAATTTTGGTGTTGATAACTCATTGTTTACCGAATGAGCAGAGTACAATTGATAAAATGGATTTGGGCATGATTTAAAAGTTTCATCAAAAAATAAATGACCATGATCACTTTCTGATAATTGTTTAAGAGATTCTAACGTCCCAAATATAAGATGTTTAATTTATGTAAAAGGAATAACTCACCATTTAAAGTTTTACTACATATTCCTTCAATCATAACATCATCAATATTACGTGGAGCAGATGGATAACTTGTATTTCTTGCATTATACAATGAAATTTTCATCTCGTGAAACATTGGTGTAAATTGTGTAATTTGCGATGATGTTGTATATAATGATATTATTTGTTCTCTATAAATCTTTTTAACTGGTTGTGGTGAATCTTCAATACGTTGTTTTAAATTCATTCTAAATTCTTCGACTTTGCATTTAATTTCATCACCTTCATGATTATGGGGTTGCTTCATAAATGGTGAATTCAAATCACACTGAACAGCTCGACCAAGACAAGAGCGATCTTCACATTTCCAATAAATCGTTGTATTAATAATTTTATCTCGGGTAAAACGGAAATTATCGAGAAGTAATGTAGGCTTTTTACGCTTACTTTCAACAATAGTTGACATTATTCTTTATTTCAATTAAACATAGCATAAACAGAAAGATTAAACATCTTCTTGTATGTTATATATGTATTTTCTTTTGCTTTAATAACTTGAGCGTTTCAATCAATTTATTTAGAAAAAGAACATTTTAAGACAATCAGAACAATAAATATGATTCCTTTGATTTTAGCTCATATATTATTACAATTTCATTTTTTCGACGAAACAAGAATGATGACAAAAAATATATATAAAATTATTCGACGAAACGAGAGTACACCCATTATACTCTATTTATCGCTATTTGCTCTAATAAAATATTTCTCAGTATGATATCGGAACGAATTTTTTAAAATTTTTAACACAAATTGTTCTCTTTCGAACAATCTGTAGTTTACATTTGTTATTATCAGAAAAATGATCAAAGAGAGACACAATAACGTTTAAACATACATAAATTGATAATTTACCATCAAACGATAATACAATTACAAAATGACCAAAAGAAACGATACAAAAGGCAATATAAATAATGCTATTTTATGAAAGAGTTTTGTTCTTTTTGTTATCATATTGCAGTTGTATTATTGTTTGTTGTTATTATGTCAATTTATGTATGTATAAATGTTGTTTTGTCTTTCTCCAATTATTCTTTGATGATAACAATTGTAAAAAATGGAAGACTGGAAAGAAAATAATTTGTATTGGATAAGAGAAATGCATTTTGTTACAATATCATATACAGTTATTCTAAAATTTGTTCTAATTTACTTTATTTTTGTAAGTTTATTTCAGATGTTTAATGCTCAAGCACCATATGTTGCTCGAGCCAACCGGCAACAGCAACAACATCGAAAAAAACGAAAAGTTTCATTATAGACATATTACACAATTTTGATTCTTATGTTACATCATCTGATGATGATTTATTTATGAATGGCAAATCAGAGCAAATATTCACGAAGATACTACTCATGAGGATACTACTCGTGAGAATATTGCTCGTGATAATAATATTCGTAAAGTTACAGCATCGAAACCAGAGGAATTACTACAATCAGGTTATTTAAATTCCAATACTTCCACATTCATATCGAATTATGACGATGACGATGATGACAATATTGATTGGAATGAAAATTTAGTTGATTTATCTGCTGATTCAAGTTCACTTTTATATGAAAATTCTCACATTTCTGTCAAAGCTGCTGCTACATCCATCATGTCTATGGCTATCGAATTTAATTTTCCAAAAAATCTTATTGAACGAATATTAAAACTTATCAAAACGTTCTTACCAATTCCAAAATTGTTACCAACGGCCCTTGCATCTATACTTAAATTATTTGATGAAACACCTGCAACGTTCTCCAAGTATTATTGTAATTTATGTCTTAAATTATGTACATTACGAGCTGGGTGCAAATTATGTCAAAATGATCAATGTAAATTATTCGACAAGGTTCTTCGAAATAGTAATATTATTGAAGTTGTCACTTTGGATATTAAACAACAGTTGAAGTCAATAATTACCAGAAATATTTCTTTATTTGGCAACAACAAATTTGTTGAACCATTCAACATCAGCTGTGGTACATATTATAAAGAAATGATGGTGTTATCAAATACATCAAACCAAATCTCTAAAAATCAAATTTGTTCCATTAGTCTCAACATTCACACTGATGGTGCGCCGTTGGTGCGTACAACGAAATTTTCTTTATGGCCGTGCATGGTTTCTATAGTGGAACTTCCTCCGCAAGTAAGAGAAAATTAAAAAAATATTATTATTTTATGCTTATGGAACTCTTCCATTATAAGCCAAATGTTAATTTATTATTATGAATGATTGCATTCAATAGCTGTTGGATTTATCAAAACCATTTACAATAAGTATTAATGGTTTACAATTTTACATTGCGGTTAGAGCTCAATTATTCATAGCTGATTTACTAGTAAAAGCTCTATTTTGAAAGACAATAAATTATAATGGATAAAACTCATGCACCAATTGTTTAACTGAACGTATATCGATAAATTTTTTCTCTGAAGTTCTTATTTTAATGTTAATACTTTCTAGCTATTTCTTTTGTCTAGTTGAATAAAAAAGTCGACAAGTATTGTATCCATATAATAAAAACAATTATCACCAACGAACTCATGCTGGGCTCTTAGCAACAGCTCAAGAAGTTGATAATCTACATCGAATGGACGCAAAAATAGTAGCATTAATGGTGTTAAAGGTAAATCACCGTTACTTGAAATATTTGAATATCCAAAGCAAATTATTATGGATTACATGCACTTATGTTGTCTTGGGCACATGTCAACGCTTATACAACGTTGGTGAATAATGTTAGACAATGAAGCACTTGTTGATATCGATTCAAAATTATTTAATCAACGATTTCCTCATAATATGAGTGTTAAATTCAATTATCCCTTGAATTTATGTAATGATTGGAAAGTCAAACATTTTCGTGTATTTGTTTTATCAATCGGTCTTCCATGCATTTTATCACATTTACCTTCACTTATCGCATCACATTTTGCTTTATATTTGATGTTTATTAAATTATTGCATTGTCCCAAATCAACCGATGAAATTAAATTGGCTGATAAGATCGTACATTAATTGTTGCCGAACAGCGTCTCAAATATACGGCAAAACGATTAAATTATTTTCACTTCATCGTCATTTGCATTTACCACAACAAGTTTTAACGCATGGTGGTTTGTGCTTTACGTCAGCTTTTTGCTTTGAAAGCATTATACGTTATCCTAAGAAAAAGGCATATATGGAACCAGAGAACTGGCTACTCAAATCGCAGATTGGATAAATATTGGCACAACTATCAAACGACAATCTTCCCAACTTTCGATACCCATTGGTGTTAACAGCATTGACATTAATAATTCAAATTTTGATCAATATCGACATCACTTTTTAAATGTTTTACCTAATTTCATTCAAAACGACAATGATATTATTTTATTTTTACGCTACAAAGATATTTTTGTTACTTATCATTCACGCTTATATGACTTACGATTTAATTGTTCCAGTTACATCGTATTTTATAAGACCATGGATTCTTCTGTTGAATATGGTCAAATCATTATCTTTTTTAAACATAATACAGATTATTATGGCTTTGTTCAGGAGTATACAGCTACAGAAAAGAATATAAATGACTACGTTTTTGTACCTGCAGAATTAAAAGAAAAGTTAAACGAAATTTTTCCAGCAAGGAGTTTGAGTCAATCGTATAGTATGTACCTGTTACTAATATTTGTCATAAATGCATTTAAGTTGTACACAATGATCATGCATTTCTTTCTGAAGTACGAGTAGATTACGAACATGATTAAACTAATTTCTTTTGTTTACATTTATGTTTTTGTGTCGTATTTTTACGACATATCTTATGAGTATTTTAATGTATATATATGATGACACAAAATGCATACGCAAAATCGTACACAACAGAAGCACAAGGAAAAAAAGATGCAAAATTTGCTTTTATCAGTTACATGGACGAACCGAATAGTTTCAGCGTTGTATCTATTAAAAGACTAATTAATGTTGATAACTTTGGCAAAGGATCTATTCGAGAACAAAATAAAACTTATCGTATTACTGTCGAGCGAACCGGTAAGTTATTAATTGTACAACTTTTTCGTCAAATGCTTGCTTTCTATTGTATAGATACTCTTATTGAAATGGAACAACTTGCTCAAGAAGCAGAAGAACTATCTACGTACAAAATGAATTCTGACGTAGTATCCGACACGGAAGAATGGTTTAACAGAAAAAAAAATCATCGATCAGAAAAAATAATGATAAACCAAGTAAGTTGGAATAAAGAATCTCTTGTTTTTTTAAGCTCATTATTTAGCTTCAAATTTGCATAGAACATCAGCGTTGAAGACTAATGAAAGTTCACTGACTGATTCAAATAGTATGATAATAGATACGACATGAAACAGCTGTAGACTTTATCTTAGTAGGGAGTGTAGTGCCTTTTGATAAAAATCTTGACAGATTTTAAGTCACTAGCAAAGAACATTTAATCGAATATCGGACCATCAGTCAGATTACTCTTATATTTTTATTGACCAGGATTTACTGTATCACCTGACAATGAGTTATATTTTTGTTTTTGATCATTTGAGGAGTCAGCATTGCATCATTAGTGTAGAGTAATTACTAGAAATGGTTATTAGCAGTTTATCTTTGATTCCTTTGGTACGAAGGTCAATGATTGCAAAGCATCATTTGATTATATAATTGCCTATATATTTACTATACATTTTTTAGATTTGTTTGATAAACAACTAACTGAACTACATACTTTAGGTAGATTATTCCAGTTATTTGATTGACTCGAAATTTATTCTCTTTGTTTTAGATCTTGATGTATATCGAACATATACAGCATTGAATACTTGTTTATTTGACGAACCAAATAAAGCTGGTAAGATTATCCATTTATAAAAATAATATAGAATTGTACAGATTTTATTTTTTTCTATTTAAGGCGAGTTTTCCAGAATATCATCTGATAAAGATGATGATGACGAATCCAGTTGTGATGAAGATCAAGAAGCTGGTAAAACTGCCGATGGTCATATTTTGAATTCTACTCTCAATTGTATACCTACTTCAAAATCGAAGAAGCGTACCTCATCAAGAGTATCTCGACGAATACCTGAAAAACGACTTCGAGTTAATGATACTTCATCACCAACTGTAAACCAAGAGAAACTTGGAGTTAATAAATGATCATCTTCACCAATAAAGAAAATGAATTATAACTTGATTCAACTTTGCAAACAAATAGCTGGTCTTACTCGTTCATATGACCAACATCAGAAAACGTTGAATTTGATTTTAAATAATCAAAAGAAAATAGCCAAAGCTATACGAAATCACAAAGTAAAGAGAGCTGCCACCAATCAAATTTTTAGTTCTTGTTTTTTTTTTATAGATTCCAATTGTATTAATTGATGAGACAGGACATGAACCACCAGCATCTACTATTGATTCGAGCACTATCGTAAGTAGCTCTATATTAACATTCTCTCAAGTCTTTTTTTCTTAGAGTTGCAAGTCCACTACGGGCGAAAAAATTGAACTGCTTCAAATTCCAGCAGACAGAACGAATCCAAATAAATTTGTATTAAAAGCTGTAGATCGAATATTCAAAGAAGGAAAAGAACTTATTGATCTTGATCCACGTTCCATCGATACAGATGATCGAATTAAAACTATTCGAGGTAAACCATTTCCAATTTATTACATAAACAGTTCTGTTTTTATTCTAGATGCTGTCCAAGTAAAATTTAGTTTAACAAAGGATGAACTGGCAACAGTTTGGATGCCGATGCTAGAATGCATCAAGTCTAAGCGAAGAAATTCAAAAGCTAAACTACGAAATACTACTACATCAAATAGTTTCTTTCTCGGAAAATTCTAAAACACGTTTCTACGTTTTTCCCTTCTAGATGAAAATAGTCTTCGCATTAGTACCGAAAGCCCATGAATATAATCGATCTTGTCAACGCAACAAACTTTCGACAATCAAGCATTCAACAGAGAACCTTAATGATGAATAAAATATTCATTAGACTTAAAATTACATTGTTATTATTTTATTTACTTTTAATTGTTTTGATTGGCATTATATTTTATGTATATAGACTTGTTATCCTGATTTATCTTTTACACTCGGATCTTGTA